CATAAGCGACATACCGCCAAGGAAGTTCCAAAAACTGCAGTTCCTCGAATGGCCACTTGAGGCTAGCTCCAAAACCGAGTCAGTCTCCATTAACCTCTATATTAAAATGCCCAACTTTATGGTAGAAATAAACATGTTGACGACGTGGTACAACAAACAATTTGGGTCTCCATAGCTACATTCCTTGTTCGTGATAACTCTATAGGGTGTGATTTTTTACATAACTCATCAGTTTAAATTGCATTAAGACTTAAAGTTATGCATAATGTGTGACGTTCCTGCTTTGTGTGACAGCTGGATGCCGTCACAGGACAGCTCATTGGCCGGAGATGTTTGCATGGCCTCAGCTTAACTCGTGCGCCGCCTTTTTACACATTTTTGGATTAGCCTGATGGCTGAAGCCACCACACTGGGCTTCAAAACTGCTCTTTGGGAAACCTATGGGTGACACTGATGACGTACAATCAATGAACAACTCATAGAGATATTTCAATCAGAACCAAATTGATGGACCAACTAACTAACAGATGGAGCAAGAATTTAATCCATTGCCACTAGCATGGTTAATATTCTTAAAGTGGGTCACAATCACTTCACCCCACAGGCAGCAAGGCAAGATTTTAAGTCTCTATAATAGACTTAAAGCCTTGTTAAACTGGATATTATTGCAGTATTACAAGCTTGAGTTATTCTAATCATATTTAAATAAGATCCTTTGTGTACGTGCGGCTCGGTTCCACATGAACAGATCATCTGATATTCAAACTCTGATAACTTTTACAAGATAAAGATACTGTCAGATACTCAACAGTGGACTAGCACTGTTATGTGTATCACTATTCATGGCTTCAGGGTACTGCTATGTGAGCCCTGCTTTTATTGCACACAACAGGGCTTTGTATCTAACTGCATAGTTATGGGACAGTAATAGTAGGGGAGAGTGGGAGTGTGCACAGGGATACATTCCTCCATAAATAAGTGACAGCCAGAAAGTAACTGCAAACAGCAGGACGCCATGCTCCTTGTAAGACCCGGTGTTCACGGGCAAGTGCTCCGTGTTGTCTTTCAACTGAGAGAACCATCATTTACTCAACACTGGCAGCTGTGAAAGAGAGAATGACATTCTTGAGCTATTGGAGCGAGACACAATTCACTTGCAGATCCCTGGTGACACTCTAAAAAGAAGGAGGTCATTTTTTTGGCCTGGAATGCTGACAGTTAAAAGTGCAGTAAGGCAGAGTGTTCAGACCGCAGGATGTAATTGTTGGTTTGGAGGAGCTGCGTTAATTATGTGTTTTTGGCCTAGCAAGGACTGACCTTGTTGGTTGGATGGGATGATGTATGTGTCATTGTCAGGACAGAAGAATCCTGACACATAAGCACTGACACCGCTGCCATAACCAAGCTGGCGGCTACATAACTCTACATTTTAGCTGTAATGTATGTAGAAATCGGCAGAATTTGAAATTCCGGGTTCGTCTTCGGATTACATATTTCCCCCGATATTTAAAACTGCACTAGGCAGAAATCTTTAAAAGGGTAAAAAGTAAAAAACCCACCAGAATTTTTAAAAAATACAGCATTCTTCCTGCAGCTCGTATTTCTCCCCTTTTAACCTCGGTCCCTTTACCCAAATGAACAACAGCGAATGCAGATGCTTCAAAAACAGTCAAAACCAAAAGTCAACATTCACTTGTAGCTCCACAAGGGATTCAAACTTCCCTCTCCTGGATGAAAGTACTCTGTTGAACCCACCACATCCTTCTCCCATCGTGGACTTTTGTTGCTCTTTATGCACTCTCACTTGATTTCAGTGTTGAAGCCTTGGGACTGGCCAAAGTCTTCCTGCCGCTGGATAATTTGAAAGACGGAGATCTAGTTTGCTCTCAGACATCTTAAATTACAATATAGTGAAAAGTTTTCCTGGATTTTTTTGCAGGATTATATCAAAATTATGCCATGTGTCAAATATTATTTTCCCTGAGATCTTGCGAAATACATCAGAATCGGATATCACATAAGGTTTTAAAGAACTTCTAAGTGTTTTTTTTTCGTAGCACAAAACAGCTGGAGCTAGAGGAAAGTAAGCGGATCTACCGTTTTGCCTTCGATTAGCAATCAGAAAGAATACCACATTTACTCCTGGTAGAGGAGATAACTCTTGGGAATGAATGTGCATTAGGGAATACTTTGAAGTACGACTAAATGACGTGATCCCCATCTATTGGCCTGCTAACTTTCTGGCTTTTTGCGGCTGAGTGCACGCGAGGGAGTGAAGGCAAGACAGAAAGTGGGTGGAAGCAGACTCGTCTCCATATGTTAGACATTATACGTCAGCTGTTGCATTGTGTTTGTTCATGCGCTCCCCTCACCAGTTTCAATTACATGGCCCACAAACTAGGCCATTGATCCCCTCACGTTTTCCTGCTAAGGTACGTCGGTTTGTGCCTTCTTCTTCCAGCGCGTTTGGATCGGCTCACTTACATCAGCAGCTGCAAAGAAATGAACTCAGACGCCGCTCTTTCCCCTCCCCCCCCCCTTCACAACTTCCTTTCAAAAAAAAAAACACACATACATGAAGCCCGGCGAGCGTGTTCGCTGACTGGCAGGCAAACAGGACAGTGTTACTTTTCATAAAAACCCAAGAGCAGCAGCAAACACATGGTGTCTCCTGCGAGGTTCCTAATTGGAAGCAACGCAGCCGGCAGGACTGACACTCGTCTTATTCTGCCTTGTTGATCGGATAACTCGATCGCATATTAGCTGGCTGCCATTGCTCCGAGAGCAGCAGCAGCAAATGTGGCTCAGAAGTAGGTTATGACACATTTGGATGCATGCAAGCGTCTGGTGGGCCCCTCAGCAGGGACGCAGAGCTAAACAAGAGACAGCTTGCACAGAAAGTCTCGATAAAGAACAGACTATGTGACTTTGCGTGGCAGTTTGACACCTGTTAGTTTCGGTATCCAGATTTAAGAGAAGAAAGTGTGTTTCATGCCAGTGTCTTCTTTTACAGTGCTCTATATTCTCTCTGTTTCTCTCGCACACATTTACATTCAGTCTATGGCCGCTCCGGAGCAGCAGTAAGAGCTTCTAGCCTGAGGGTGTGGGTCTAGTCGCTCTATGTCCTGGAATGCAGTTGACTTTCTAAATCCCCACTAGTCTATCCTGGGGGCTGTGGGGCAGGGCCTATCTCAAGCCCCCCTTTTCCACGTGAGCTACGTCTGGAATCTCTAAGCAAGCAGTTAGCTGATTCTCCCGGCCTCACTTATTCATCCGGCCCCTGCGTCTATGTGTTGATCTTGAAAGTGCAATGGAAGAAGAAATTGCACATGAAGACAAAGATTGCTCACTTGGGGAAGGTAATGAGCTTTCTGACATGCCAAATGAATTCAGATGCTTTGGAGGTTTCGAGTCTGCTCTGTCTGCTGAGTGCAATTTGGTTAGCAGTGGGGGAAACTGTGTTTGGGAGTTAAAAATAGGATTGGAAGTACATGAGACGTGCTGCAGCTCTGAACTTGAGTAGGGTAGGATTTTGGGCGGATGGTGCCGGTGACGGGGGCATGATCGTGACGCACCGCCACACGGTATTTCTCCAACATTATTCCTGCTTTTTTGTGTCAAAGCAGTTTTATGTTTCCTCCCAAAGATCTGCCGGTGGAAACAAAGTGGATCGGGTTGAAAAAGACAACGAAGAAATGTAGTGGGATGGCACAACAAAACAAAGAAAAGCTCAGCCATTGCAGCGACTAAGCAGGTGTTTTTAGCAGTCACAAGTTACTGCAGTGGTTAAATCAGTGAAGTTACCTCTGCTTCAGTCCTAACATGTCTTAGAGGAAAACAAGAAATTCCTTTTTCATGTGTGGCTCACAGCATGCACTTGAGCTTTCAAAGGAGAAGAGAAAAAAACATATTAAACCACCCACAAAATAGTGGCAAATCACTTGAAATTTCCTCCTTCAACTGTTGAAGAGCCGAACTCTGTAAGAGGTCCTTTATTTTCCGCCATTACCCTCTGAAAGGTACACATTATAGCTCCAGCTACCTGTCTGCAAAACAAGGCAGCAGATCAGCTTGCTTTATTGCTTTTTTTTCCCCCTTCTGTTTTCACACTCGAGCAGCCCTCCTCCTTTACTTCCCTCTCTCCTCTTGTCTCCTCTTCTTGTGGTCTCTTCTTGCACCGCATCTTGTAGCTTTCACATTGATGGATTATAATTGTGTTCCCGGGCGATGATTGATTTAAGATAACAAGGGTGCAAAGGTATTTATGTGCCTAAGGAGTTGTGTTTACCTTTTCTCCAATATGCCCCGTATCAAATATCTTTCTGACATCCCTTTTGTTAATTTCACATGTGATCAAAGGGAGGGAATAAAGATATCTGTCAGATTATCGGAAGCATGCCCAGTGACAGGTTGGTGTTGCTATGATGCTGCACACACGCTTGTAGTAACTTGAAAGCTGGCGTTTAGTGGGAGCAGAGCGCAGAAGAGGCATTTCCTCCTTTAATATTTTTATTAAAAATCTCTCTTCAAATAAAGTTATTGCATCCGACAGCGTCTGCTCAATCTCAACATTTTTCAAGGCATGCGATGTATAAACAGATGCTCTGGGCATCATCTCCAAGTTTCTCCATTTGTGCCTCTTTACATTAATGGATATTCTTGGCGCCTTTTATAGGAAAGAAGCCAGAACAGCTGTTTCAACTAACTGTTTTCACCACCAATATTGTGTCTGTCACACTCAGTTGGGAAATATGAAACAGTATGAATATGTAATGAGCTGGATCTGCTGTGTGTTAGAGAAAATATCAACATTTTGAGCATGGATTGAGTCGTTTTTTATTCCCGTGAACTCACACTTGCTCCAGACATTTTTAGATGATTGATTTGCCCTGACATGCCCTCCTCATGACTGACAGAAGAATAACTCACGTGCTTGTTGTTGATGTCAAAACATAGCTACAGCACGTATGTTCTGACCCCTTGCTCTTGTGTCCCCTCAGAACAAACCAAAAGCAACCTGAAGGTAACCTCTCCAGAGGACGCTGAGCACGTAAGCCGCAGGCAGGCCTCCCCAAATGGGACGGCTTCTTCGAGAGGGGACTCCAAAGGCGGCCGCACTGTCCCTCGAAGGCACACGTTAGGAGGAGCCCGCAGCTCCCGTGAGATCCTGGCTATGCAGCCGTCAGATATGGACAAGAAGAGGGAGGCCTTCCTGGAGCACCTGAAGCAAAAATACCCCCATCATGCCTCCGCTATCATGGGCCATCAGGAAAGGCTGCGGGAGCAGGTCAGTGAGTTGCAGAAGGCCGGGGTGTGAAAAGTTCACACTGAGGACAATACTGTGAATTGATGTCAAATCTGCACACTTTAAACAGATTAACAAGGAATCAAATGTGTCAGGGATTCCTAATGGTGGAAAACTTGCAGATAATTACCAACTCTGTAGCAGTTCCATTCAGCAAATTCCTCACAAATTTCATTTTCAACCTTATTTCCTCTCATAGCTGAGAAAGTACGCAGCTACAGTGTAAACAAAGCTTTAACTGGCGGTGCATTTAGCAGTTAAAGAGCCAGGAATTTCCCTTCAGGAGCAGGTGGTGACTAAAACCAAAACTAAAAGGAGAAGATATATACATGACAGCTACAGGACTAATACTGATGTTCCTCTATGTCATCTTAATGTGTAAAAACTCCATTTTCTGTCCTAACTGCTGCCGCTATCGTCTAATAATGCAGATTTAATTTAAGACCTTCTCAAGCAACTCCTTTCCCCATAATATTGCAGTTCATTTCAGTTCATTCCAGTGCAACTGTATCCAACATCTGGGAAATTAAAATAAGCTACAAACAGTGATTAACATGAAAACTATGAAATGCGCATGAATATGAATATCGAGGTTCATAAATCACACATGAACGTGTATAAAGTGTTTTTGTGCAGTCTTGGGTTGCAGGCATTTTTTATTTTTCTTTGTAGGCTGCAGTGCAAAACTGTTTCCTTCCACTCTTTTGCCGCAGGTTGAATGTGAAGTATATCCTATAAATCTGCCTGTCACGTTCCCCTCCCACTGCTGCTGTGAAACAGTGAGGTGTGGAAAACATGCAAACCGCAAACACTTTGAATTGGCCATATGCTCCCGTTTTGATCGCCGTAACATGACTTGTTTCAAAGCTTCAGACTGATTTGTATATTCTAGACTACAGAATGATGTATATGTTGCATTACTCAGGGTTGTTTGGGAGCTTTTGGAGCTCATAAAGTATCCCTGTGCTCTCTGAAGTCACCGGGGAGGGCAACACAGAGGGAGTCTGGACATTTGGCTCACCTGGTCATTGTCTTGTTTGTTTGCTCCGGGTCAAGGGAGACAAAAGGGAAGAGCGAGCTGGCTTTGTAGCCAAAACAATCGAGGTAATGGTGAGACTGGCACCGAGCCACAGGGGAGCTCCAGGCGATGGTACGAGCCATTGTGCAAGAGGGATTTTGTGTGCTGTTTTCAGACCTGCCCACACGGCCTGCCCACATGCAAAGTAAACCCTTTTCATGAGGCGCTGTTTCAATCGTGCTGCACTGATCATGAACTCTGCAGATTTGCATTGGTAGTATCAGTCAGTGTAGATGATGACATAAAGTGGATCAACCAGTTTGGATGCTTGTTTGTCTTTTTTTTTTCGTGTCGTATCTGCTGGTTCTCAGCTTAAATAAGTGTTTCTCCACGGTGGATAGAGTTTGTTGTGAGATGTAGGTAGTCAGACAGGTAAGTTCAGCTCCGGACTGGGGTGGAGTCAGAGTTGCCATAGTGACGCATGATGTCACCGCTGGAGGGGCTCAGTTTACTTGTAGGTGCCTGTTGGAGAGAAGTGGCTGCCTGTGTGAGAGCTGTGTGGAGCGCTGCTCTGCAAAAAAAAAACAACAGACTATGGATCTGAAGATTGTTCGGAGACATGGCTCTCTGTACGTGAAGCCCGCACAGGAATTAAGATAAACTTTTTTTTACGCAGAAAGGAATAAACTTCAGCGCTGTCGCTCCGGTTAAACGCGTTAAAGGTAAGACAGATCGATTAATTTGCCGTTATTTTTACGCGAGAGAGCGAATTCAAACACATTAAAAACATCAGTACTGAGTGTTATTCTAAACAGCTTGTACATAAACGCGCGCATTGTTGCGCTTTTTTACGCAAAGGAGCTTCTTCCCTGCAGCGCGCACCAACCAGCCCGCTGTCAGGTGCTGCAAAACTTCCGAGACGCAAAACTTGGCGCACAAGTTGTTTTTTCTATTGTTATTTTTATAACAAAATAAGAAAAGAATGGAACCGCAACTAATTTATCCTCCTCATTCATGTTCAGTCACATCGACGCCTTGAGGTCACCACTTCCAAATGATCCCAAACGTGCAATCATCTGCAGTCTTCCCCTAATTTCAACGAGATGGCAGATGTGTAGCTGTAATTGCAAAACAAATTATCTTTTGTTGAACGGACGTTAAGGGTTATAACATAACAACATGCTGTGTCTTGCGTGATGGTGATGGTGATGATGATTACATGGCCGGTAGCTGTTGTTACTGCATGTTTTGGTAATGCCATATTATTAGGATTGAGAAGAAGATTTACACCATGACATCTTGCGTGTCATTTTATATTTCTCTTAAAAAAAAAGATCAGAATTGGAACCTGCTTTGGAGAAGTTGCTGCTCCTGAGGATGTTTTTGGGTGTGTGTGTGTGTGTGTGTGTGTGTGTGTGTGTGTGTTGCATTTACATCTATTTCTTGGCATGCAGTCAGATGTGTAAATTTTTATGGACTCATTCCGATGGACTTGTTTCCGTGATTAGATCGCTTGTAATGTGTCCAGGATTTGTTGGATGTGTATCTCACATTTTGGCTATTTACGAGGGCAGCCACTTGCTGACTTCACACAAGTTAATAAGAAGCAACAAGAGGAAGATTAGTTTCTTTGTTTGTGTCAGAACTCGTATAAAAATATTGATTTCGGGTCACTCCAGGGTCAATTTAGTTGGGAATCCTTCATCCTTATTAGCTATGATTTATGTGACAGTGTTTTCTTACTGGCGGAGTTACTGTAAAATAATATTACGTTTTCTACCCTTTGAAGTTCTTTCCTTAAAGCAGCTGAAATGAGATGAGAGAGACAAAGTGCTCTGTCAGTTTGTAAGTGATTTTGAAATGAAACCACTCATATGTTATTCAGATGTGTGGGATGAGATTTTGAGCGGGCGATGGCTCTTTAATTTATTATGTCAAGGAAGAAGATACAAGATGCTGTCACAAAACAGACTGGTTTGAGCATGAATATCTGGCAAGATAGACTCAGCGCTGATAGATGCGGCGAAAAAAATGATGATTGAAGACCATATTTGGCATAATCTAATTCGGGATGTCGAGATAAACGCAATCATTCATTGCGAACACAAATGAAAACAAAACAATAATGACAAGTATATTGAAGTGTTTGTCATTTGGTGTCCTGAGGAGGTGTGATTATTGAGCAGTGGAGGGAAGCAGCCAGAATATAAGCCACCTTTGCTGGTGTTGTGGTGTATTCTGTGATAGATAGTGAGGTGTGGGAAAAAGGGAGGACTCGCAACCGTTCTCACGCAGATTTAAAGATCCCAACCATACAGGAAAAGCAGCATCGATGGCAATGCGTGCTTCAGAGGTGAGAAGGAAATGTCTCTGGAGGTTTGAGTTACAAAGGCGGAGATTTATCAAGGTCAGGCGGAAGTTGGGAAGATGATATCGCTTCAGTCTGTAAAGTGGATGTGACCCCACTCCACACAGAACAAATACCCCCACACACAAACTGACCTGACTTATTCTTATATAAGGCGCTGCTCCGTTCTTCTTTCGTCTTCTGTGATCCTTAAACCTACAACAAAAGCGAGTGGTTTAATTTCCTCCACTCCTCATCAGGCCTGCAAAGACCTGGATCCCACCCAGGGGAGATGAGATAACATCCCATTGGCCCGACCGCCACCCATCCTCTCACCCCGCTCTGTCTGCCCCAGGGGGCTTTTTGACGAGGACAAACTGAACTACTTGACCGATCGCAAACACACACACACGCACACTCTGAATTCCCTGCTTCCGCCTGTGTGTCAGTGTCTGTGTGTGATGAGCTGTGACTTGCCAGGCGCAGGGTTTTTCTCTGCAGAACCGAGCGGCCATGTTAGGACAGCTGTCTGCAGCTGTGGGCACCAGACGGACAAACGGACGGACAGGTCTGTCACCGCCAAGCTGTGATAATTCCATTGGCCGATCAGAGCGGAGATTGTGGTAACAGTGTGAGTGTCAAGGTGGCTAAATTAGTTTTTTGGTGCAATTTTCTGGCGTGTGTTCATACTGTAGTTCCCCTCCAGGATGCGCTTTTTATAGAAAAGGTGATGTCAGGTTTGTCTGCACCAAGCAGAGACTGATGACAGTTTGGTTTCTTGATTTATAACTGAGGGTGTTTTTATTTAATTTAAATCATATCATAGAGGAAAGACGTTTAATCAAGTTTTTATGATGAGGCTTGGATCACTTGCCAAATGCGGTCATTCAAAAACAAATTCCCAACAATGCAGGGTGGGACGATTTTAAAATATCTTGTGATGTTACATCCATAGTTTTCTTCCTTGTATGGATTTCGATGTGCTCAGTCGAGTTTGACGGCAAGCAAAAGGCTTGATAATGGATGTTGTCAAAAATCGCAGAATGCTGCTATAGATGTTGTGGCGATGACTGTTATTTCATTTCTTTAATTCAGTCTTCACCAACATTTTTTTGACTTGACAAGATGAGAGTTTTCTACAAAGTGAAACACCCATGGGAAAATATATGATTCTTTTATTTCTTTTGCTAAACGCTGTACATATAACACATGCTGCGATCACTTGTCATTTACAGTACATCACTTGAGGAGGCAAGAACAAAGCTTTTAATAGCAACACTAATTGGAAGACGCTTCGAAAAAATAGGATAATTTGGAAACTTTTCAGAACTGGCAGCTGGGCAGCATGTCAGCAGCAGATCAGTGGTATGAAGTTAACATGGAAACATTTAATAACAACATCAATGCCAATGAGATGGCAGCCCAACAATCCATGCTAAACTCAGCTACATAAATAGCACTGATTTGTAAGTATAGACACAAAATGCGCTGTGAACTCTCCCCCTGAGTCTTTTTCAAGCATTGCAGCATTTGGCTGGTCTCCCACATACTTTTCTCTGTGGGTTCCTGGCCCTGCTACGCTCTTGCTCCCTAGAACCAAGGTCAGCGAGATAACGC